GTTCTGCTCCACCATGACTCCACACTTTAATGGAGATGTCAAGATTTAAAGATCAGAGGCTTCATCTCTCCCATGTACTGTTCATGGTGACTAATCTAGTACTGGTAGGTACATTCAAGGCTGAGAACAATCTGAAGGGTGATCTTGAAATATTAGGTGATTCTTCTTTAGCATATTGATGTATTGACTCTAACTGACTCCCGTGAATAACTATGTGGTGACTTACATCTATTGCGCTTTACATGCAACATGATAGTGTGTGTGCCGGAGCAGCCATCTCTACCTCTGTCTCGTTCATAAGCAGGAGTGTCACAGCACACTGCCCCTATATTGGTGAATTATTTAAAATATAGAATTTCTTTTAGGGACCAAGTAAGACCACTAATAGAACTACAGTAGGAAACCTGGATGGATAATGGAAATTCATGTTACTTTTCTCGTTTCATAAGAAATGAAATTACTGATTAATATCCTAATACTAAAATGGCATTTCATTCAGATGTTTTCACTCTCTGTCTGAGAAAGTAACTGGACTGGATATCTAGTTTTTATTAAGGGGTTTTCAGGAACTGTCACCAGCAATGTATGTCAGTGGGAGAAAAGCAGTTGATTTGGGGGACTTCCTATGCTAGCTTTAATGGGTTAGTCATTTTATGCAGTTAGGAGCAAGGAGAGCATCTTATCCTCATTTCAGAGAAGCGAGTGTTTTCATCCATGTTGTCCTCAAAATCTATTTATTAGTAGCATTATTTTTATATGAAGCTTAGTGGAAGGATTCAGGAGGCAAAGACTCAGGAAAGTGTTTTACATACCAAATGTTTCTTATTTGATGTGAAACTATTGTTTCACTCTTCACACTGGATGGCCTAATATTATTCCCATTGACTTTTTAAAGATGAATCATTGAGTCACTTTTCTATTTTGCTACTTCATGTAAGATGCTTGGGTTGTGAGTGTTTTGTACTTTGTTAATAGTGACTAATTGACATCTCAAGCACAGTATGGTACCATGCTAATTCTATTATTTGACTCGTCTTGAATTAAGCACAAGTAAGTTCAAAAGTAATTATTTTTTATTTCAACTATATAAAGTATCCAACAGGCACTCTGCAATTACAGCTGCAGGGAAAACACAGAGCAAATCAAAGCAGGTTTAAGTTATGAAAAAGTTTTTAATCTACATCAAAAGAGTGCAAGTGGCCAGTGACCATTAGATGACAGTTTGTTGCATTCTAACAAAAGACTCTTTCATGTAGCACAAATTGTAAGAGGACAATCAAATAACTATAGCTGTAAGAATACAAAAGAACTGACCAGTTGAAAAAACATCATACGTTGAAATAAACTTGATAGATGACGCTTAAAGAAATGTCCCTTTACTGAGAAAGCCCAAACCTCTGAGTCATGGTCAAGGTCCCAGAGCTCTGTCTGTTGATGCGGGGGGTAGAAAAGGAGGAGGGCTAACAACATACTTCCAACAGTTTGCTCTCAAGGTCTCCTGAAAACTTGCCTTATACAAGATTTGCATATACAAGAACTCAGAGAAAACATCCTGTTTTGTTGAGGGGTGCACCAAGGTACATTTTCATCATTGGTTTCATAACGAGGTGTGGTGAGCAGTCATTTCTAATTTTTCTGTTGGGTTGGACCATTGTTAATGAAGTCTATAAAATGAGATATATTTAGGATTTGACTGCACTACTTTTTTTTTTTAATTTACTGAGTCTGCACAGCTGAGCAAAACAGGAATACCTGTATACAGACTGATAGTATGTCATATAGTAATTTGACCTGCACATACATTTATACATTTCACAGAAATGACGCTGTATCTCATGAACAGACACACAGCTCTGGTACATTGAACAGAAATAAGATAACAACTTCATCATTTCTGTAATTCATCAATATTATATAATAAAAGCTTATAAATCGTCAGCAGAAAGAACTGTAAAACGCAGCAAGCTAAGAAAGGACAACATTTTGAGGTGTGTTTGTCTTTGTCATGCAGCATAACACCAAATTTGTTTTCTTAATAAGATGCCATGAGTTTAAGGCACTTGCAACAACGCCAGATAGCCAGGTCATGTTCTAAACTATGGGACAGATGAGTGACAGCACTGGTGACATAAATTTCAATAATACTAACAATTATGACGTTCATTCAAGTCTACTTGGACCTAAAAACGTTATTTAATACAAATAAAATGAAATCATAATGCTGTGAAACACTAAAGAAAGTTATGTACCACAAAATATCACCCAAAAATATCTATTTACATAAATATTCATTGTGGTCTTACTGTGAAAGAAAATGTTGTGGAAAATGCACAGATACCTCTACTGTATAAAGTCGGGTTTAATACCCCTGTGTTCAATGTGGTAGCTGACTTCTTTAGGTTCACCGTCAGGTCTATCATTTGGAAATGAAGTGAGAAGGGTTCAGTTGTTTATTATTCTACATGTGTAATTCACATGTATGTTCCCTAATTTTAAGAAAAAAAACCTATGACTTATGAGAGTTATAATAAAAATAAGTTTGTTTTAAATGTTACATGGATCTGATTCATAGTCAAATAATAAAGAAGATGGTAAGTATAAAAATCAACTCTAACAAATTATCCAAAACTCACATTTTTCTAGTGTATTCACTTTAAGTAAATATTGTGATGTCCTTTCCTTGGCAGTTTGCTGTTTTTCTGTGTTCTAAGACACACAGAAAGCCCTATTTCCCACACACAAAAGAATCGGTAAGAAAGTCAGTTAGCAAATCAAACAAGTTGGCACTATGCTAGTTTATCCAGATGGTCTTTAGTGCAAGGAAAAAAAAAAAAAAAAAAAAGCAGAAACCAGGGGGCATGGAAAAGTCCAGAGAGTAATATGTGGTTTATGAAGCTGACCATGAATTATAGCCCTAGTGTCTTCATTAAGACAAGATTTAAATCCTTAAAATTCATGTTGAAAATCTGATGAATGTTTTCTGTTAGCAATTCTTGGAAGAGAGAATTCACCTTTATCTCTTGTGATTGTGTTGGACGTTCTCATTAATGCTGTGGATGAAATGAACAAAGATGTATCACAAGTGGAAAACAGCCCACAGTCACATTGTGCTGAAAGCAACTCCTTTCTTCTTCATAGAACCCATATATGCACATAAACTGTCTTAGCCTCGGACCCAAGTCCCAAAATACAAGGTTTGTTCAAATTCCTGGGGATTTGTGGATATTTGAAAAATTAGAGAGACGAAAATGTAACATCCTTGCAAGCCACACTATCTTGCAACAAAAAATATCGAACACTGATTATAATGTTAGAATTATATGTTATTTAAAAATCAGTTAAACAAATAAATAAACCTTCAGGAATAACTGAATTTTAACCTGGTATGTTTAATTTTATATCATTTAGTTTGTTGAAATACACTGATCTCTAGGAGACTCTAGTAATCTTGAGAAACTGTTTATGAAGGGGAGGATTTTAGTAACACAGTGGTAATAATATCAGGATCAAAGTTTTAATTGAACCTTACCCTAATTAAATATACTTTCAGTAGTTTTAGGCTTCCAATGTTTTCAATATTTTGATAGCATAGCATGTTTGAAAGTAGTTTTGAGTATGAAATTTCAAAGAATGCCCATGTGATTTATTGGGTAGGCCATGATGATCTAATGGAAATATTTTTATAGGAATTTCTACATTAAAAAAACCCTACTGGAAAAATAACAAACTTCTATTAATACACATTTCCAAATCGGGATGCCATCTTGGACAGTTTTACATTTATCTGAATAAGTAAAATGCTACCTACCAACCAAGCTTCTGGAAAGTTCTGCCACTTAATAATAGTAGTCAACTGGCCTGCCAACAACATGCTTGTTTTAATTTGATGATTCTTTCCCTTGTGTGAAAAAGACAGTTGGCTTGACATTTTCAAATCTTGTGTTTTCTAACTAACATGAAATTTCAAGGTTGTAACATCTCTGCTCTATTTAGATAAAACACAGTTTTGAGAAACCAGTCTCCTGTGTTCCTCTCTAACCTCCCCTAACTTTGACAAACTTATTCAGGGAAAAGGTCCTCAATTCCTGGCCTGGTTTTGTTTTCCTCTCATATCTCAAATAAACAAAGTTCCTTAGTATAGTAAGTCATAATACCTGACTTTATGCTTTCAGAATATATATATATATATATATATATATATATATATATATATATATACATATATATATATATGTATATATATATATATATATACACATATATATTTATATTTTGTTAGTTTTGGTTCAGGCCTAAGACAAGAGACTAGTTTAAATACATTTTTAATATCCTTTCTCTCTGAGCCCTGGACTGTGTTGTGACATGACAGGATTTTTTTTTTTTAATAAAGTTAGTGAAAAATGCTTGAGTCTCTGGCTAGACATGATGATTAGAATCTGTGTCGTCTGTTCAGACACTGACATTACAGATGAAAGATAGACATAGCACCTTTTCATTTTTATTATTTTGGGATGGGTCTTCATTCCTCCCCACCCTATTCCATCCCTACCCCAAGGGTTTATTCTTAGAAAAGGGACTAATTTAAGCCTCAGTTTGAGGGTGTTAGGTAATAAATAAAGCCAATTGGCTGCTAGTCATTTCCAGGACCATCTTTAAGCACAATATATATATATATATAAATATTTTAAAGGTATGAAATGGTGTTGTGAATTCCTTCCCCCCCTCCACTTTGTCATGCCAATTTCTCAGTTATCATGCACATTTTCAATCCTCTGAAAACACATATGTGCCTGCCATGGGAGGCTTGTACAAAAACCATAGCAGTTGTGCTTTTTTTTTTTTTAAACAGATCAATTTTTAGAATCTATCAGAAAGAAAAGGTAACATTCAGTCTTGTCATCAGCTAGGAAAGAAACTCAGAAACATCTAGCATTGGTTTGACATGAACTCTGTGACCCACAGATGTGTGGTCCTCCTTGTACTAATTATATATAGGCTTGAAGTCGTTATAGGCTCCACACCCTTCCCCCGATGAAAGGGAATAGCCCAGGTTCTTTACCACAGCCATCTATCGTACCGAATATATTATTCTCTATTCTTCTTGGTAATTCTAGCAAGATACAGACTCTTCTACTAGATTGAAGTGTTTCCTACACTCTTTCAAAATATAATCAGAGCCAAGCAAGGTCATTGCAACAATGGAAAACATCACTTTACTGGTGAAAGGCTTTGCTTCAGGACCACCATGTCAACTGCTATTTTAGGTTCAAACATAAAACATGTAAAGAGCACTATCATAATCTAAGCGATAAGTCCTAATGCCACCGTAGTTACTGGAGCAGCATCGATCAAAGGCATCATGGTGACCCCGAGCTCTAATCTTCTCTCTTTCCCTCAGGTTTGCTGGCAGCTGTGTCTCAGAAAAAGCTGTCTTCAGCAAGGCAGAAGCAGGTAAGAGAAATACATTAGAAGTCTATGTCCCAGCCTGAGTTGTCATCAGGTGGTGGTTCATCACTGTCCTCAGGGAAACTGTCAAAATTGCTTGTGTCTGTGGGTGATGCAACCTGCAACATGAGACAATGAACAAAAGGCTTTTGATATTTTTGTTAGAATTGTGAGCTACAGATTTTATTCTCCATTATTAAAAAGAATAGTTATTAATTTATTATACATACATATATATATATATATGGATAATGCGAACAATTAGTCATTTAAGAATATTTAGAGCAGATTAAATATATCTGTCTCTTGAACATTTTTTTCCTATGTAGACTTTGAAAATGCTTTCTTTTAGGTTTTGAAATGTAAAGTTCCCTATTATTACTGTGTTTCTTCACCCTGCTTCAGTGCAATTGCAAACCATTGCTTTCTGCTCCTACCCAACTTCATGGCTAACGATCAATTACTTTCTGCACTCTATGGCCATCTTTATTTTGTCCAGCATCTGGTAAGCAAAATTCTAACCTCAACCTTTGTAAGAGCAATTTGCTTTTGGACTGGACATGGGGCTGATTTGTGTACTGCTTTTACCTTTCTGTGTCTGAATTACTCAACCAATGAAAGAGATTTTCAGTCCTATCCACGTGGTTACAAATGGCAGGATTTCAATCTGTTTATGGAAGTGTGGCATTTTTATAATGCAAATTTGTAGATTTTCTTTTTCTACTGTGCCATAATTTTGTTGTTGGTTTGAGACTGGGTAACCTCTGTTGACCTGAAACTCAATATGTAGATCAGGCTGGCCCTGAATTCCCAGAGATCCACCTGATTCTGCCTCCTAGAAAGTATTGGAAATAAAATGTATGATTGCTAGGATTAAAGGTGTGTGCCACCATACCTGACACTGGGCTTAAGTGCATTTTTTATTATTCTTCATTCAGTGACAATTTTTGAACATGTACTGTTGGATGGATATTTTGCTTGAAATTTGGGGAAATTCTGAGGAATGGAAACAGGATACTTCTTACCCTCAGGAATTTATATTGTAGTAATAAACTGTGTAAGTAAAATAAATAATCACATAAATTTATTAGGAATTATAAAATCATAGCACTATGAGGAAAATTATGAGGTGCGAAGGAAATGAGAGTGATTATAGATAATCTCTTTGCAAAAGTATTATTTAAACTTAAGAATTGTTGTTTAGTAAAGAGGGTAGAGGACACACCATGGTCCTAAGAGGGTTCTATGTTCTGAAGCTAACAAACTGGCCACCATCACTGCTCTATAAGAGGGGAGAGTGGAATGGGATAAAACCCAAAGAAGGAGGCAGTAGTCAGGACATAGGTCCTGGAAGTTCATGTGATGGATTTTATATATTTACATTTTTAAAAGTATAATGAAAGGATTATAAGAAATACGTTTATTCTAAATATAATGGAGGCTTAGAGATTTGCTCTCAACTTGAGCAAAATTCTTCCATATTTGTTGGCTATAGTCTTGTTTTCAGGGCATCAAGCAAAACCCTTGTAACTATCTCTAGTGTATAAAAGTCATCCTTGATAAATTAAGATGAGAAAATTTACATGAAATATTTGGGCCTTCTAGCTTACTCCATGTTAGGGTTCCAGGCATTTTGCTGGCCTGCCCATCCCCTGTTACTTGGTATGAAGCACTCAGGCAGTACCCTGCCTAACCCAGGGTCCTATGGCTTCTCTGTCACTATGTAGTCTTCATGCAGGTACAAAGGGCCCTTTAAGAGGCAAACTTGCCTCCTTCCACTCTCTTTCCTGCTGTCCCTCTGAGGGGGGAGACAGGACTTTTCATGTCTTCTGCTCCCCACTTTCTCCCACGCTTCTTCCTTCCCTTTCTCCACTCCCTTCCCTTCCCCCAATAAACCTTCCCACTCAAGCTCTGTCTGCCTGGCATGTTTGTCCCTTGCCTGTCATGGAATCGGCCAAGGTCCCTGTTGTACCATATTAAAACACCACACCCTTATTCTAAAGACAGGGCCCAGTGAATGTAGCTGGGATCAGTGATGTGAGACATGAGTGGAATATTTTCATTTTTGTTTCCAGAATTATAAAACAAAACAAACAATAAAGAAATAAATCTTAGAAGAAAGGAAAATGTTTCTATATACAAAGACCCTTGAGTTAATCCTAGAGATTTGAAGCATATAAACAAAATTCATAGGACCATAAATCTGTCCCTCCCTCTTTTGTTAAAATGCAGCATGCTGTATTAAACAGGGACAGTGTGCTTCATTCAGTTGAAGTCTATTTTAGGTTAATATGGTATACACAGTCCATGTAGCAAACTAGCTATTTAGCAGCATGCTCCTCCCCCATCCCAAACAAACTGTATTAGGAAAAGAGAACCTCCTTTCAGATATTAATAGAAGGAGGAAAGAATATATATCTTCAAGTGCTGGGGTAGGTGTGAACATGTAAATGAGGCAACACCGAAAGTGGTTGCTGTAAATTCTGTATACTCTTTTAGCTACAAACACATTCTTATCATGCACCACAACAAATGCTAACTTGTCTTCATAGATAAAGTGAATTTGAGTTCCAATGAAGATTTTAAAAAGATAAGGGTAGATCACTATGCAATAACTATTCTTAGATTTGTTGCTATTATGTTTGGATTTTAGAATATGCCATCATTTTAATATGGTTTTTATATATTTTATAATCTGACCATAAAACTTTAAAAATGACAAGTCTTTGTTGACTGAAAAATACCATCAAGTGTGTACCATTTATAAGCTAAAAAAGCCTACTTACACTTGGAATTATGGGAGGTGTCAAGGTGCCTTTTCTTAAGCCTTCCCAATTAAAGCCTTCAAACCATCTAAGAAACAAAAATAAAGACAATTAAGACATTGCATCTCTGCTACATATTCTCACTACAGCATATTTACATACCTGATAGGTAGAAGAGTCTTGTGTAGTCTAGGATAACCTCAAACTTAGGTGATAGTGACTTTGAACTACTGATCCTCCTGCCTCCAGTTTCCATGTGTTGGCATTACAGATATGTTCTACCACATCTGGTAGGCTCTGAATGTTTTCAATGAGCTTATTTTATAAATGCAAAAAACTATTAAAATATTTTAAAATAATTGTATCTAAAATTTTTATACTTAAGTGTAAATTTTAAAATATTTACAATTAAAGTGTAATTGTCAAATTCACACACCAATTTGTCATGCACCTTCTTTTGTAATTTCAATTTTGTCTGTAAGTCTAAGTTCTTGCACTATCATAATTTAATAAATGTCACAATACGCTTAGCTCTATGTATCACAAATACATTCCACCTTTGCCAGAGAATCAATACACGGGTTACAATGGGGGCAGTTACGACCAGTTCTACATGGTCTGACTTAGTCTTTCAGAGATCTCTATCCAGGTGAAAATGGGATTCTTGACTTTACTGAAGAAAATAATTTCAAGATGAATCAGTATGAGGCAGAGTGAAAATTGGTTAGGAAAATATTTTAACATAGACTTCAGCATGGGGGTTGCTAGAAAGAAATACTTGTGAAGAGTAAGACTCACCCAGCTAAGCAATGGTCTTCTCAAGAGATAGTAAACTACACATGTTGGAAATAGCCATATATATGAATTTTGTGGCTCAAATTATACCTCAAAAATTAGCTAAGAAATGCTCTCTCATCCTTTTTTTTTTTTTTTTTTTTTTTTTTTTTGCCCTTCTTTTTGGTAAATCAGAGTGTAGGGTGGCTACATAAATGTCTTGGGTAGGGTCTCAATCTGATAAAGCAGACCCTGACTAACTTACAGGGGTTACAGCAAGGAGTAACTTGTAATCAGGCAAGGCTTCCAGTAGAGGGACTGAGATCCCAACCCAGTCATATAACCTTTGACTTACAAATTTCCCTGTCTACAAGAAGTGCTGGGATAAAGTGGTACAGAAATTTTCGGATTGGCCAACTAATGATGGGTCCATCTTGAGACCCGTACCATGAGAGGGAGCCCATCCTTGACACTGACTGGAGGGCCAGGACCCAGAGGCTGGATAGCCTAGAGATCTAGGATAGAACCAAAAATGACCAAAAAAAAAAAAAAAAAAAAAAAAAAAGTCAATGAAACGTTGCAAACCACCTGCATAGGGACACAATTCCTTTGAGTTGCAGTTCTCTTCAGACCTCTTCTGCCTTCGCTCCTGCTTATCAGTCCCTTTAGCCACTACACCAAGTGGAATACTGCAGTTGTGCAGTGAGAGTTCAGCACATACTTCAGAGGTCAACCCAACAGAGAGCAACAGAGAGGTACATCTCATAATCTCATAGACCTTTATTTTTTTTTAGCAAGGTATTAAGAAATACTGTATAGCAGTATATTACTTTCGATTTATTAAAGCTTGATTGAGAATTCAGAAAGGTAAAGTCAGCCACAAGCCATAGAAGCCAGGTACACACCTTTAATCCCAGTAGTCAGAAGATAGAAGGTGGTGGTACACACTTTTAATCCTAGGACTCAAGATTAAGAGATAGATGGATCTCTGTGAGTCCAAGGCCACCAAGATCTACACAAGAGTGAATCAGTCTAAAAGAGAATTATATCTCACACCTATAATCCCAACAATAGGGAAATATACAAGACAGAAGCAAGGTCTCAGAGAGGCATTCATTCTCCAGCCACACTGAGGAGAGGTTACAGTCAGAGGCTTGGCGAGAGCTTGTGCAGACAGGACCAGCCCATTCAGACTGAGATAGAAACGAGAGCTAGTTGGCTGCTTTGCTTTTCTGATACTCAGTTTGAAGCTTCAACCCCAATATCGGTCTCTGGGTCATTTATTTATTTATTTGTGTTACAATACTGCCTTCTGAACATGTTAGCTATAGTCATTGCAGAGTTCTTGTGTGAAGAGCTTGGGAATTTTTTCCCTCACAAATACTACAGTGTGCTAATTGTTTACTGGGCACAGTTTCCCCTACGCACTGGTATACTGGGTGATTCCCCCCAGCAATGCAAGATTGTGGCAAGAAAGTGATCTCAGTCAATGCTCTTTCTCAACCAGGTCTTTGTATAAACTTGGAAGCCTGCCCCCTGCAATTATCAGTGTTAAAGTCCACACAAAGAGACCTCAATTGAGACATTTATGGATGCCCACAGACAAGAATTATGGCATGTCTAAAGTTGTTGAGCCATAGCTCTCAGAGAGATAGAGAACAAGTGTCCAGGATTCACTTTGCCAACAGATAGGAAAGTGCTGTCCCAAGCCAAACTTGCATTAACCTTAAAGCAAATCCTTAACTCTTTGCACTTATTTTTACCTAGGTCTATTGAAGCAAGAAACTCACTGCTTTTATTTAACCAGAGAGATGGCATAAGGTGTAATCCTTAGAGCCAAAAGGTTCCTTTTAGCCAGTTAACAGTTGGTAAAAGTACTAACACAAACCGAATGCCACACACTTCCTCTGTTATTTCCATATGTTGACTAGTTACCCAACACTCCCTCTGCCCACCAGAGAAAAGCAGCACACTGAAAAAAATTCTTGCTTTGTTCCTGATTTTCACTGATTATAACTTTTAGCTTATTTACCTAGTCACATTTAAGAAAATCACAAAGCACGTGTATTCCCCTCTTAGATTTCCCTTATACATACATATGTGTATACACACACACACACACACACACACACACACACACACATATATATATATATATATATATATATATATATATCCCTCTTAACCTTCTTTTCCTTTAAGAAGTTCTTGGAAGCTTAAACCACTCCCACTCTGACCAATAAAGAAAAGCTGGCAGTTACTGCTTTGTGTAAAACTTTTATCCATTTCTGTGACCCTGAAAAAGTCTAACCCTACATCTGGCTAGAACCAGAGAATTACTAATTGTGAGTGTATATAAGCTGGAAACTTTTGCAGTACAGCAGGACAATAAAGAGCACATGCATAAGAAGAACATGTGGTAAGATTCTTCTCCTATAGCCCTCAGATCTTTGTTCTTTCACTTCTTGCAGTCTCTTTTGAACCCTGAGAGAAGACTTTTAAGGCTGGCTCTTAAAAGCCTTAGTTAGAATCCAACCCATAACTCCATGTAGTTCCTCCAGACCCATTCTGCCCAGTGTGCCTGTCTATCTGTCACCGTACCCACCTCTGCAACTGCACCTTGGCATCATATGGGATCCAAATGGGAATTTTTTGGTATGTCCCTCAAACCTATTTCACCCACCTGCCTACTAACCACCATGCCCACCACATCCAGTCTGACTCTACTCCTGGAATCCACTAGGCCCATAGAGCATCTTCATACCATGTGTATATTAGCTACCCTACCTACCACACTGCTACCACATAGTTTTAGGGAATGGGTGTAGGAGGCCTACCTGAAGTTCAGGAAATCTAATGCACTATAAAAGGACCAAACCAAATGTACAAACTATAGGCGTAGATGAAGAAATCCAGGTCAAGGCACGAAATAGATTCCCAATAAATTCATAGAAGAAAATCCCCAAATCTAAGAAAAAGGATGCACATTAAAGGGCAGGAGGCACAGAGAGAACCAGATCGGTAGGGCTAGAAAAGGAACTCTCCGTATCACATAATAACCAAAGCGTTACATGTTTTGGCTAACATGAACTGGAAAGAGAAGCGAAAGTGGCAGGCAGAAGAACAGGTCCTTTTTCAGGGCAAACCCATCCGAGTAACACTTGACTTTTTAGTGGAGACTTCCAAACACAGAGGACCTGGGCTGATGTTCTCCAAGTGCTAAAAGAGCACAGATACCAGCCCTGACTAAGTCTATCCTCCTAAGGGATTTATGGTCTCTCATGACGAATGTGTTTGAAGAGTGAAATTGCTCAAGTTTTCTTAGCAAAAGCCTGCAGTCATCATCAAAGTGTCCCAGAAAATTCCGGACAGGTTAAAAAAAAATGTCAATTTTCTTTTCATTATTGGGGCTTTGTTCTTTGCCTTAACCAGCAACTTAGGACCACTTACTAAGTAGACTTGTGTGGTATTGATAAGAATGACCCTAAGTCACAGGAATTCTTATCGGCCCCAGCACTGGGAAGTTTGCATTTAGAAAAGCCATGTGTCTTAGATGAGGCAAAATAAGACATAGTGTTTATAAGTTCTCTCTGGAAAGCTAGGGGACATTCACAGCTTTCTTCTGCATCTGGTCTCTACAGTGTGTAAATAGTTAAGAAGCTCACAAGCTGTGGTAGCCGTGGCAAGGTTGGTAGATTATAAACAGAAATGGCTCTAGTACAGAACCAAATGTAAGTCTATCGTCTATCGTCTACCAAAACAGAGAAGGCGCAGCCACAGACTGCCTGAAATGACTGGTCAACTCAAGGCAACATAAAACTCTTATTTCTAACAGTTCAGAAGAAAAATATTCAGGGACTTTGTGACTCATGCTTCTCCTGGAAGAAAGGCATTAACGTTCCAGTCATTTATGTCTTTGGGGTTAAAGGATCATAAAGTCTATAATTCAAATAGTCACAATGTCGTCTGCTTTGTCTCCATAATTGCCAGGGAGGCAGAACTAAGCACCTTCCCTTAACTCATTACAAAGGGTTGACAATGTGATCTTTCTCAAATGATTCCCTGTCAAGAATATAAGCATCTCCCATGTGTGCTGACAGGTTCTCAGGGTGGATAGAGATCTAATCACATAGACTGAGAGAACTCAAAATATTATATAATAAAATTGTTTCTCCTGAGACTCCCTAGCTTCAGTGACATCCCGAGAACACACTACTTAAACCTATAAATTCTGTAAAGCTCTAAAACTTCTCTTCAAACAAGAAATAATAAATAAATGAGACATCTTAATATCATAACTTCCTAAATCCAAAGATAAGTTCCCCTTACAAATTTACATGTTTGACTTAGTGTCTTCATATTTTTAGGCACAGTTAGCATATATACTCCATGGCTGCAACCTTACACTGTTTATTCTACACTGGATTTCATCTTGGAATTTTTCTTTTATGTTTTGCCACATGCTCAGTATAGAACTATTAGTGGGTTTTATGACAGCCCAAGGGCTCTGACTTTGAAATTCAAAAGGTATCCATGAGGAGTTAGAAGGGAAAATATAGGGTGAATTCAATCATATGTCATTGTGTACACATATGAAATTCTCAAAGACTACATAAAAAAAGGGATAAGGACAGTGACCCTCAATATTCTGATAGCAGCACATGGAGAACCTGTGCCCTTCATTATTAAAATGAAACATACACATCTGGTAGGCAAAGCTTTGTGTCATGTCTGAAGTTCAATCTAGGTCAGATGCTGACTTAGGTTTTAATCAGTTGCTAGCATCACAATAGTCATAGATCTCATGAGTAAAGTGGCTCTGTTGTTTTTGTTGCTAATACTGAATATAACAATCTTCATTACACTCTCTTATTTATATGGTGTGCTGTCCCAGGTCGCCATATTGCCTCATGGAAATTTCCACAGGATGATGATTCCTCCAGTATCCAAAATCAGACTTTCTTATCTCATCCTTAGGTATCATAGGTTGAGATTTTAGCTGTCTGGATGTTCAATGTTTGCATCCTTGTTCAGAGCGAAGACATTTTAAAATATAGACTTTTGAACATTATCCACCATTAAGATTATGGGCTCAAAGTCTCAGAGAGGGAAACCAAGGCAAGACAGAAAGAGAAAATTAAGAGGACATGAGAAGGAGAAGTAAGGCTTCACTCTGGAGTCCGGTCAAAGCCTCCTGCTAGATCAGAGTCAAGAGCTACATCCCAACTAACCATTTGCTAGGAAGATTACCTATATAGACCCAATGTTGCTTTTCTACAGAGTTGTTAAAACTGCAAGGAATCTTCTTAAGTCTTATGTATACATGGCCTTTTTCCTTTTCAAGTTGTAAACTTACAATTTTCTAGGACTCTCACTAGAAAGGCCACGTATAGTAAAAGATGTCTTAATACCCCTTTGCAGCCCTGGTAACTCATAGTTTTATCCTATCAGATTTTCATTCTGTTCCAAGTATTTCTAGAGCAACCTTCTATTCTCATTTGCAAAAATAAGGGAAAAAAGAAAATTAAAAAGATTCCTAGTAACCCTTGAATATATAACTTGCTAGCCATCAACACTGAGCACATGGCTACTGTTAAGACACCTAAGTGTGGCCCTTTTGAGAAGCTCACGTCCGTAATTGGGTATGTTTGCTCTGAGTATTTACATTAGAAATCTCTTCTAATAACTTGAACTCTGCTTCATCTTAGCCTGACCTGCAGGACAGTGCCTCTCCAGAGCAAAGTCAAGAATCCCATTTTCACCAGAGTAAAGATAGCCTGAAGAAAAGCTTTAGCTACTCTAAGTGGGACATAGCTGTGTCCCTAGCTCCCATATCCCACGGTCACTGATGATTAGAAATCTCGATCTATGTATCTCTATATATGTTGCCTTTAATTTAAAAAATAAGGTATAATTTAGAGACCGATTTTGCTTTCCTTATGAACCAGAGAATAAAGTCTCAAAATTAGAAATATACATATTTTTTCTTTGTTCCAAAGGGGTACAACAAATAAATACTGGTAAGTGTTGAGAGAAACTGAGTCAATAAATTGCTAGATATCAATGAATGTAATTTCCAGATACACATAGAAAAGTTTATAAAAGACTAACACGCTCTCTGAATGTTCTAACCAATAACTAAAAATGTTCACCCTGGGGAAATTTGTCATGCCTTCTCAGTTATAAAAAAAAGTTCACTTACTTGTGTTTTTGAATGTCTTTCACTCCGTTTTTCAAATTTCCTAACCTTTCTGATGGGTTGTCCCTAAAGTGAAACAATCATCATGTAAAAAAAGGTCAAATATTTTCGTATTATAATCCTTATAAAATGATGCAGTTTAAATACTTACCTGCATAGTTTTTTAATTAAATTAGCAGCATTTTTTGCAATCTTCTTTGGAAATTCTATCATGTCAATTCCCCGCAGTATGATGTTATAGGTTTTCATAGGGTCTGGGCCTGAGAAAGGTGGGCTGTCAGGAAGAAGACAGAAAGGGATGGCATTTTAACTCTCTGAATAAGAATTAGAAAGTTGTTACAGCCACATGCATGACGTCAGCTTTTACACAAGGGAATCACATTAGCTATGACAATGGAATGAGATATGCATTGTGCTAATAACAATGGAAGGAGAGTTAGAAAATAACAAAGCACTATGGAAAGCTTCATAGGCCACTTCTTAGCAAAACCGCTGATGGATGCAGCTTGTGCAATGGTCCCTCCTTCCTTTGATCCTCTCTTTACCCTGTGTTAGTCATTGTGCTGTCTCCAGAACTCTACTGCCTTTTCCACACTGCCTCATGGGTGGCACTTGGTGATTATCATATACCTGACAAATTCTTTCTTCAGAAACTATAAATACAGTGTTTACATCTCTAAACCTCTTTGGGTAATCTCCTTCTTCAAATTTATTTATTTATTTATTTATTATGAGATCTGCGCCAGATCTCATTACAGATGGGCGTGAGCCATCATGTGGTTGCTTGGAATTGAACCCAGGATCTCTGGAAATCCAGCTAGTGTTCTTAACCACTGAGTCATCTCTCCAGCCCCGGGTAATACACTTTAAGTGTTGTTTTATTTTATGACCCCATATCATTAATATGAGTTCATATTCTTCCTTTTAGGCTACGGTACTACTTCCCTTGATGTATGTGTGCTTCTGTTTACTTTAGTATATTATTAACATTGGGATTGCAGCTTTAGTTGCCACCAAAATGGATACACACACAATTCTGGTTCAGCTCCTAGTGCCTGCATTTTATGTGGTGTCCGAGTGGGATGTCCCTTTTACTCTTCTGAGTTAACTTGACTGTTTTGATCTTGCTTCAAAATCAGTCAAATCCTTAGTCCTTTTGCTATTAATTTAGCAGGTCCTAATTGGTGCTTTTTATATTTGTGCTTATTTTAGAGAACTAAATAATGTATTAGAGTTGCCTTTTGTGTATTTTAAAGATGATACAGGCTTAGTCTACACTAAGATAGTCATAACCCTATAAAATGTTACTTAGTAGAAAATAGGCTGTATAATACCCCAAATATTAATAATCAACATTTGATGAGCATGAAATTATTTGTGTGCATGAGCACAGACAGGATCATATTGTATATGCTTTTTTAAAAATGCAGATGTGTGTTCAACTTAATTTTGCTTCAAGCAGGGACAGCAATGAAAGAAATGTTAAGCTTTGAATGTGTGTTTTTTAAAAAACAATATCAATTCCCAAAATTGCTATAAAATAAAGAAGATATCAGAACTTTGAGTTTTGCAATGTCATGTTTCAATTGTGAAAACTATTTGAGAGTATTAATCTTGAATGATGAGAAAGAAACGTATCTATAGCTTTCCTTCCAAGTTAATTTTTACTGACATTGGTATTAAAATGGTTAAAGAATATAATATTTACATTATCTTCAATGACATTTAAAATATTTAATCTAAAGTCTAATTAATTAAACTTAAAAGCAACATCACCCCATTTGCCAATTTCTCTGTTGCTAAGACTCTCATTGGGTTAATTATTTTATTGATTTGACCAATCAGTGGTTGTGAGAAAGGGCCACAAAGTGCCAAAGGCAGAGGTGCACAGCTGTCTGAGGCCTATTGCTATTCCCAGTTCCCTGTAAATGTCCATACCTGCCAGTCAGAAGCTCATACATTAGAATTCCTAGTGACCAATAGTCAGCTGAAATGTCATGGCCTTTATTCAGGATGATCTCTGGGGCTACGTATTCTGGAGTGCCACAAAAAGTCCATGTTTTCTTTCCAAATCCTATTTTCTTTGCAAAGCCAAAGTCAACCTTATGAAGAGAGAGAGAGAAAAAAAAAAGACACTTAAGCTGTTATGGTTAAGTTATAGAAAACTATGCATTTAGCTGAGCACACTGATGAACAGATGCCCTGTTCAAATTCTGTCCCAACAAGGAAAGTGAAACCTGAACATATAGATAAAATTAAAACCATTGAAAGAAAAAGTTCTTTCTAGAAACACATTTTCCCCTACTTTTTCTCCCCAATAGTAGTTGTGGCATAATGAAAAGAATTTGTGCTTTAAAGAGGCAGAGATTCAGGTGGGTCATCATAAAAGTTTTCCCAGACTATATATGCCTTCTTCTGGACAGGATGAAGTTTACAGTTCTGGTATTGAATAATATGACAAGAAGGTTTACTGTTGAAGGAGTTGAGTAACACAGTTAAGAGAGTAATATTCCACTATTGGTAAATAAGCAGATAAAACAAAGTCTATCCTTTTTTTGTGGAACTTTCTGGAGAGCTGCAAACACAGAAATCCCCTTTTTTGCAAACTGTTTTATTTGGTTTAGATGCAAATAGTTACATGCCATTGATACAGATGTATTTGAAAATCTAAGCCTGAGTAACAGTTCCAAAAGTTTACAGCTAGAATCAGGTACCAACAGATCCAATACTCACAGAAATTGAACTTTTTTTTTTTTTTTTAAGTGAAAGAGCTTCTCTTACACCGTATCTCTTAGAACTCTTAACCAATTGTTAGTATTGTTGCTGTTAACACAACTTAGATATATTAGAACTCATTCCACATGAGCACTATTCTTAAATATCATATACTAAAATGTTCACTGTCTTGTATAGCACTAATTTCCATTGCATTTAGACGGCAGAAAGCTGGATAGAAATACAGACTAAATACGTATAAGTGCTTTCAGTTCTGTGAATACATGCCAACAAGAGCATTTTCTAACAGTTGATAGAACATGTACTTTGTGGGGGCATTATTAATTCAAACCTAGCCAATTTAATTTCTCATAAAACTTTACATAATTTGAAATACATTGCAATGGAAAACTATGATGCTAACACTGCTTTCCAGAAGTTATAACACTGAAGTGGAAAATCAATTTTGTGTTAACAAATGAACATGAGTCCTTAGAACTTCAGGACACAACCCTTGTGTGAAATACACTGACCAGCTTGGCATAACCTCGATGATCTAGGATGAGATTTTCTGGCTTGAGGTCCCTGTAAATGATTCCTTTGGAATGCAGATAGGCAAATGCTTCTACCACACATGCTGTGTAAAATCTGGTTGTTGAATCTTCAAATGAACCCCTGAAAACAGAAAATGCAATGAACAATGTATGAGCAATTAAATCTCAAGAAAAAACTGGTTCCTGTATATGTGAGCTCATTATACTTCTACACCAAAGTTGGCTCAGAGGCCAATGTCTAAAGGGCTCCATATTACATGTGTTTCATTCCATGTTTTTAAAACATTGGAGGATCAAGCCAAAGAATTATTACCCTTAAGAGTGGGACAGTTAAATCCAACTTCTTGGAAGGCTCAAGAAGAGATCAATAACACTAAGTTTCATGGACTTTGTGGCTTCCTCTAAACAGCCCATTGCTACATAAAAAATCCAGAGAGTCCCTGCCATGGGTAGAAGAATGAGTCCTGTATTCGCACTTGCTTACTAACTGTCTGCTTTTCACAGGAGAGGTTATTTTCATTAATTAATTTATTGTTTATTCTTTGTTACTTGGGATCAAACTCAGTTAGTTCTTCATATATATATATATATATATATATATATATATATATATATATATATATATATATATATATATATTCAGCAAACCCTGTACCATTTAGCTATATCTCTAGTCCAAAGAAGTTATATTGAACAGAGAGATTCTTAACCTTCAAAAACAAGCATCCATGTATAATATATACAATTATCATACAATTTTAGTATATCGATTTGTTCATGGTTACTTTTAGCAAATTTTAAGTATGGATCTTTCTAAATGGTGTAGGTATGGTTCTTGTGAATGTGAAAATAAAAGATGCTAATGCTTAGGGAGAACCATGCCATAGAGCTATAACACTGCACATATCTTCTCACCAGCTAGCTATATGTTAGGTCTCTGAAACTTTGGCCATCAAGACAGACAGTATCTTTCTTCTACACCCTAGAAATAAATGGAGCTAAAACACAACTAGAAGAAAAAGTTACTAGAAGGAACTGTTAAACTCCAACATTTACGAGAAAAGCACTTTGTCTCTCTCTGTCTCATCTGTATGTGTACATGTGTCTACATATACACATATAAGTTTATTGATAAAATAATAATAAAAGAGGTCATTCCTTTCCTCTAGAGCAAAACTTTTGACTTGTTTATTCACTGAACATAAGTGTGCTCATTTTCTTCTTTCTCAAATATTGAGATTCAATGGAATAACTTCACAATTTATGGGTGTTTACAAGAATTTTATCAGCTCTTGAAGTGGCTTTGATGAAATAGGAGCTACCACAGCTTCAAGTGGTGTTCAATAAACAACAAACAGTGCAGGAGCTTGCTTGTGGGCGGGAACCTAGTGCCTGCTTGCATTGGGTGATAATTGATTCTTTTTAAAAACTGGAGTGACTTCTAACAACCTGATCATTTGAATGTGGCTACATATTTACAAAATTCATCTGCAAATACAACCTAAAGCAGATATCTTGCAGGGCATTTTTTATGTAGAAATAGTATGTTCAGCTGTGCAGACTTCTTTTGCTTTCTGTATCCACTGAATAGTTACTAAAACAACTATCTGGTCTGAAGCACAGCTAAGCTGTAATCCCCATACCTGGGAGGCTTAGGCAAGAGTCCCATCTTGACTGTCCCATCTCAAACACAAATCATACAAATAAAATTCAAGATTAAAGTAAGCTTTAGGTATGATGACATCTACTCCTCTAAATATCAGAACTTTAGCTCTCATTACTAAGAATATACCATTGTCCCAATGATACTGTGTGACACAAATGTGAATTTCTAGGGATGGAGGAAGGTTCTCTAGAAATAACTGCATCCATAGCAGAGAGTAAATGGTGTTCCTTAGGCTTTTATTGCCCTCTAAGGGGTAGTAAAACCTAGGCAGACCCACCGATCTGCAATCCTGGGTGCTGGAAAGGGATTAGAGCATCTTGAGTTCCTTTTCTCCTTTCTCTTAATACAGTCTTAGAATGTTTGCCTAGCAAGAATAGATTATTCTTTGAAAATAAATGATTTAATCTAAAAAATGTATATACATAAATATATACAGTATATTTACATTCCATGTTGTATATAACTTCAATTTCCCTGAACATAAAACACTCAAGACTAATACTAATCAAAACCGCACATGACTGGGGCTTTAGAAGACTTCACAGTGCTTGGCTTGTTTGAACCCAGAGACTGATTGTTTTCTTTCTTCAGGAGTACCTATTCTGGATCTGAGCCATTTTCAAATTTAGATGGTTCTAGAAGGTTGGTTTTTAATTATTTCAACAATCTATATTGAGTATGTGCCATATAAATGCATATTTGTAACTGCCTTTTAGACGTTTAAGGAAATCCTTGTCTCAAACTTTGAGAATTTTATTCATGCCAACAATGTATTGGTCGTGTGCATTGTTGCACTACTACTGATCAAGGCCACTGCAAGTATTCACAGAGCACAGCATTAGAGAGACTCAAAATGAAAAATCACAATTAGAATTGGTAATGACAATATAAATTTGATCTAAATAGAAGTGAAATCTTATTTTACCAACAGTTTAGAGAGTTGTTCAAAGAAATAAATCATTTATTCTGTTTAGCTCTTTGAAATAAAGAAGTTATGCATTGACAGCTATAGCATTTCAAGTCAAACTATGGGTACAGGCTCTCAGACATTCTTTAGGAGTTGCTGGTTTAGCTAAATGACACAAAATGACAATTTGGTAGAAATAGAGGGTTAGGTATATTAATTGATGAGCTGATATTAAAATTAAATCACAGCATTTACTCAGCTTATAAGAGACTGAATACCGAGATGTCAGAATGTAACAAAGACAAAATATCTCTTATCAAAAGGGGCCAGGCACCACTAACAAGTGTCAGCAATCATTAGTGAGAGCACAGATCTGAAGTATGTTGCAATATGCAGACTTACAACCCCAGAACACAATGGAATCCTGATATTCACAGGGAAATGGGCGGAACTAGAAGAAACCATCCTGAGTGAGGTAACCCAGTCACAAAAAAGACAAACACGGTATGTACTCACTCATATATGGATTTTAGACATAGAGCAAAGGATCACCAGCCTACAATTCACACTGCCAGAAAAGCTAGGAAACAAGGAGGACCCTAAGAGAGACAAACATGGTCCCCTGGAGAAGGGAAAAGGGACAAGATCTCCTGAGCAAATTGGGAACATGGAGGGAGGGGAGAGGGAGTTAGGAGAAAGAGAAGGGGAGAAGAAAAGGGGGAGAGGTGGGCATGAGGGAGCAGGAAGATTGAGACAGGGAAAGAATAGAGGAGAAGAAAAGAGATACCATAATAGAGGGAGCCATTATAGATTTAAGGAGAAATCTGGCCCTAGGGAAATGCCCAGAGATCTACAAGGGTGAACCCAACTAACAATCTAAGCAATAGTGGAGAGGGTACTTTTAATGCCCTTCCACGATAATGAAATTAATGACTACTTTATATGCCATCTTAGAGCCTTCATCTAGTAGCTGACGGAAGCAGAAGCAGACACCACAGCTATACACTAGCCAAATTCCTGGAATCCAGTTGCAGAAAGGGAAGAGTGATGAACAAGGGGATCAAGACCATGCTGGAGAAACCTACAGAATTGGTTGACCTGAACAAGGGGGAGCTCATGGACTCCAGTCTGATAGCTGGGAAACTAGCATAGGCCTGATCCAGACCCCCTGAATGTGGGTGTTAGTTAGGAGGACTGGGCAGTCTATGGGACCTCTAGTAATGGATCAGTATTTATCCCTAGTATACAAATAGACTTTGGGAGCTCATCCCACACAAAGGGATACTTTCTCAGCCTAGACACATGGGAGAGGGCCTAGGCCCTGCCCCATAAATTTGACAGAGTTTGAAGACTCCTCATGGAAGGCCTCACCCTCCATGGGGAACAGAAATGGGATGGGCTGGGGTTTGGTGGGGGTGATAGGGGCGGATGGGAGGGTGAGGGAACTGGGATTGATATGTAAAACAACCTTGTTTCAAATTTAAATAAAAAAAGGAAAAAATGGGGTGGAGAGGCTATTGGGTAGATTGACTCATTTCTTTAGGAACACTTTCAATCAGTACCATCTAAAGTTACCAAAGATGAAATTAAATAATCACCATCCACAAAATAACCAGGATCTAAACTCTATTCAGGAAGACATATGATGAGAAATTGAGGTGGTGCGTGATTCGAAAGTCATGATTTCTGAGATACTTAAATTATCCAGCGGAAAGAAAATGAAGAAACAAAATAAAAACCTAATAATTGACATGCAGCTTTACTAGATTAAATTATACAACAAATACTCATTCTAATGTGTTAGTTATTGTATTCTATTTGATAACCCAAAACTAATAAGCATTTATTACATTAGCTAATTACTGTTTTAAAAATTTCAGGAGTCATTCTTTATATGTTAGAGGGAACAAATAAAATATAATTTTTAGTTGTCTGTTCTCAAAGAATGAAATAGAAATTTTGAAGAAAAATGTCTCTTGAACTAGATGATTAGTATAATAGCTACTAAAGAGTAAACCTGGGAAATTTGGGGGATAATTGATACATCGTGTTTAGCATAGGTCTTAAGAGTCCTCACATCTTTCCTACGTGTAGTATCAACTTAATTCTCAGTTCTGTGTGTGTGTATGCGTGCATTTAGGTTGCATGAATGTTGTTTTAATAATGAATATTGTCACACAAGCCCGCTTTCCAGTAGTCTCATATGCACTTCTTGTATATATCAGGGTAGTGCTTTCTTTATCATGGCCTTCTTTGGACACAAGAAGAAAAAGTGAAAAAACCTAGGTGTTATTTATTTGTTTGTTCTTTAATTGGTTTTCATCATAAGGTTCTAAATCAGAAATCTTTATATGCGATGCAAGTGCATATTTTAATATTCAACACTAAGTCTTACTAAGATCATGTAGAGTAGTGCTTCTCAACCTTTCTAATGCTGTGACTCATTAATACAGTCCCTTACGTTGTGGTGACGCCCTATAATTACTTTCGTTCCTACTTTATAACTGTAATTTTGCTATTGTTATAAACTGTAAGTACCTGATAAGTGACCCCAGGTGAAAGGGTCATTTGACCATCAAAGGAGTCGAGACCCACAGGTTGAGAATTGCTGACCTAGAGTGACCTTGAACTTTGGAATTTCCCACTCCACCCCAGCTTTCTGATTAGCTGGAATTATGGGAATGAACCAGTAAATTTGGCCCCTAGCTTTTTATTGAGAATGTAAAATAAAATTTACGTGGAATAAAAGAATAAGATTATATGTATACACAGAAGAAAGAGTATGGATAGAGGAAATGATTCCAACTCTATATATTTATAATAGTTTTAGTTCCATAGGAGCTTCAGAATTTTGGAATCATTGGGAGAAGTAAGCATCCATTGTTTCTCCACAATAAGCTTTGTCATGCTGTATCATATTCCCTGGGGTTCAAGGGAACTGTATACCCAGAACTCAAGGATGGCACAGGGGAGGGAAAAAGGAGGGTCATAACACAGCCCCTGGAGATAAGAGGAATGAACTGTCACCACTCTTCCCAAGGGAATTTGCTTCTTTACAGTCACCTTTTATAACCCTGCTGAGTCAGGGTAGCTCTCGTGTGACCAACCAAACTGTAATCGCAAGAGGTGTGATAAAAAGTACGAGATATTTCCCTGCAAAAATAAACTGAATATTGACGAATGGGCATGTCTGATTCTTGCAAGCTGAGTTCTAGTGCTGTTATTATAGTTGTTTCAATCAAGGAACAATACAAATTTTACATAGCTCTGAGGGCATAGCTGGTCCTTCCTCTGTACGTCTTATTACACTTCCCTGTTTAATTCTATCTACAGGCCTCCTGTTTTAATGGACAGAAAATATAAACAAGGTTTTACACAAACTAGCAGACTGCAAACTGATACAGGAGAACCCCATGAAGAATGTCAGATGCTAATTCCAAGGCAAAATATTAACTTCTTGTAATAGTCAGCAAGTTCTGAGGAGTGGGATCATATCGATTCCAAAGTATATCAAGGGTGCTCTCACAATGCCTGCCATAAAACTATAACCCAGTTATTAACAACAACAACAATAATATGGCAGCTTAATATAGATGTTGACTTTATTCTGTGTCAGCAACATGCAATTCTTTGTATGCTTCTTTTAGAACTATAACTTGTGGTGACATTTTGCTTGTAATCTAACAAATGAAGCTTGCCTGAATACAAAGGTAAGCCACTAGTCAACCACACACCTAGTAAAGAGCTAAGCCGCTAGTTATCCACACATGTAAGCCAATAGTTAGCCATAGAAGACAGACAGTGGTGGCCACACCTTTACTCCCAGCACTCAGGAGACAGAGGCAGATGGATCTCTGTGAGTTCCAAGGCCATCCTGGGCTACATGGGAGTGAATCAGTCTAAAAGAGAAACACTGCTCACATCTTTAATCCCAGCACTAGAGAGGATATAAGGCAGGAGCCTAGTGTAGTCTCAAAGAGCAGTTGAATTTTGGTGGACACCATTGCAGTCTAGGCAATCTTGGCCTGAGTATTGATAGAGGTGAGGGCACTCTAGTGGCTGGCCACTTTGCATCTCTGGTCTTCAGCTTCAACCCCAATATCTGTCTTTGGGTTTTCACTATTCATATTACAAAAGCTAATAAATCAAAGGAAGCACTAGTATATGAAATTATATTAGAACAGACAGTGATCTACTTAACACATATATGAATAAGGCTACTGGGATCAGAGGCCTGAATATATACTCTATATGAGGGCACAAAGGCACTAAATCGGTAGATTTGGGAAGGAGAACCTAGTCAAGAGTTTATAAAGAACCACTTGACCTGGGGTCAAGTAAAAAGTAACAGATACTTAAAGTTCGTATGACTCTTAGTTAAATTTAGCAGGGTTGGTAGGGGTAGTAGTGGTGGTGATTGTCTAATGATGAAGAACCTGAAGACAAGGTTGGAACAAATAAGAAAAGGAAGTTTTGTAAAAGTTCAAAGACAACAGCACACACCTGCCAAGCCAGCGCTCTGGAGGAAGAGGCATGGGAAAAAAGAGTTCAAGGCAGCTTGAACCACATAGCAGACCATATTGCAAAAAGCCAGCATTTGAGGCTGTAGCTGTTTAGCAGGTACAAGACTCTAGACTTGATCTCTAGCATAGGGGGAAGTACAGAATTGCTTTTGAATTTATCATTTATAGGAAATGATGAAAAAGTACTTGTAGGAAAACAAAGTTGTCTTTAATAACAACAAAAAATGTAGATGGTGTGAGAAATAAAGAAAACAAGTTTTCATAATTCAGAGAAACAAACATGTACTATCTAGATAAACTTGACCTCCTCAGGAAGGGCCGAAGGGTTAATCAAATTGTTTACATGAAAAACTGCAAATAATAGGATTAATTTTCCCCTAAAGTCATCAACCTCTAATAGACAAGGTAGTGAACTTGTGTTGGTTTTCAAAACAGAGAGCTATGAAATATAAAGAAAAAGTGACTTTGCAAAGATATATCAGCAGCATAAAAGATAGGGTCACCATTTAAAAACTGAATGGTGCAATTAAGGTGACAGGTAACCTAGATGTGGTTGCGATGCAGCCCTTGGTCTCCCCAAGTTAATGCACAGTGTGGAACTTGAGGTGTGGGGTTGGCTCACTCTGAGTCACATCTTGTAAAGGCGTGGATGCACACATTTTCCTAATGATCATTTTTAAGGTAGATTCAACCTATATGTATCATTAGTTAGGAGATGAGTTTTTCATATCTTATAGTAAATTCTATACACTATTGGCTGTGTCTCATGTTTACATTTGAAAATATAAGCATGCATAAAACATAAATATAATTTTATTTGTGATAATGATAGATTCCTCTTATAGACCATTATCGGTCAGTCTGTTTTCCAAAACACAACAGAAAAGGTTGAAATCTCCTACCTATCCCTGAGAATAGTCCAGAGCTCTCCACCTAGGCAAGCTTCCATCAACATATACAAGTATTTGCTGTCTTTAAAAGTCCTGTACAGCCTGTGAACAGTAAACAAGAAAACAAAAGTATGAACATTAATGGCTTTTAAAACATTTGATTTTTAAAGTTTGGTGAATTATAAGGTGTTTAAACACAAATATATGTGCTGTTTAATAGTTAAGCCAGGGTATGAGGCATATGTATCACATATTTGTAGTACAAAGTTATAGTGAGGCAGAAGGAATGAGTTCTGGTTCCATTTGCAGGGTTAACAATATTGTACTGAACATTTCAAACTACATAAATGAGACAATTTTTAATGTCCTTCTCATAAAAACCAGTTCTCAGATTTCAGTGTTTTGAGTTTTGATTGCTAGTCTTGGTATTTTTGTGATGAGATACAGGCACTGAAGTCTACAAGAATACTGTGTCCCCTGGGTAACACTTACAAACAACTGCACTAGAAACTTCTGGCTTGGGTTAGTCCTAATGGGTATGTGCACATGAGAGTTTCTTGGGCTCTATCCATTCCTGTTTGGCTGATGTTCTAAGCATGGCCTTGAGCAAGACTTAGTGGTCATAAGCACAAAGTGTGTAAATACAAAGCAAATTGTATTTTATAAATATAGATTGTAAACAGTAACTTAAATTTAATCTTAACTTTCTGTGAGTATTACTGGAAAATTGACCATAAAAGTTTTTCTTGAATATAAGAACTTCATTATCACCTTAGTGCTATGAAAATACTGAGGTAGACAGATTAGCTGCCATTTCATAAAGGAAACCTACGGGGGCTGGGAAAATAGCTCAGCTGGTAAAGTACTTGCCAGGTAAACATGAGGCTCTGAGTTTGGATCCCCGGTAACCCCATGAAATCTGGGCATGGCTGTACTCATCTAAAAGCCCAGTGTTGGGGGACTGGAGACTGGCAGAACCCTGAACTGACTGGATGGCCAGCGCAGCCAAATCAATGAGCTCCGGGTGCAGTGAGAGACCATGTCTCAAAAAACAAGGTGCAGGGTGGCTGAAGAAGTCACAGGCATCAATCTCTGGCTTCCACACACATGGTGCACTTTCCTGCACACACACGTGTATGTGCATGAGTACATGTAAACATAAACACACACACACGCACACATATATGTGTGTCAAAAACACACAAAATAAATTCTTTGGAAAATTAATACTAAATAGACTGATTTTGGTAATTGTTTCTTGGGTTCTCTGTCTTTTTGTTCAATGAGGATGTTTGTGGAGCTATGACAAAAAAATGAGATGTCAAAAGTTGATATCTCTTTTGGGAAAAATATCTTGTTTTGAGAACATAAGAATATGATTCTCTTTAAAAAATAAACATGGAGTCAAACCTTTTTGTGTTTAGGAAATCAAACACAAGTTTCCCAAGTCTTCCTTGTGAACATGACATAAATACATTAAGGTTAGCTCAGCAGCAGTGAAGGCTGCCATCGACTTGCCCTTTGGAGCTGGCACATCTGTTGTTAGGGTTATGCCTTTACCTCACAATGAAGTCAGAGTGGGCCCCCTGCATGATCTGCTTCTCAGAGCGTATGTGTTCCTGCTGTCTCGTGTCCACAATGTGGCGTTTCTTGAGAATCTTCATCGCAAATGTTTTGGATTCTTCACTTTTCAACTGGACCTTAAAGACAGGTAGAAAGGACACATGAACAAGAATCTACAGACTTAATATGCCAGACTGCACCATTGTCCTGAAATTAACAGACGAATACAGGATATAAACGAATCCCAACTACTACCCAAGTCATACAGGGTGATATCCTTGCTAGAGGGACTGACTTTACAAACACCTTGTACAACCATCCCCCAGTATCACTGTGCTGGATCATACGGGTGCACAAATTAACTTTGTGCCCATATAAATTGGGGGAAAAAAAGCTGGGTGTTGGTGGTGCACACCTTTAATCCCAGCACTCGGGACACAGAAGCAGGTGGAACTCTGTGAGTTCGAGACCAGCCTGATCTACAAGAGGTAGTTCCAGGTCAGCCTCCAAAAACCACAGAGAAACCCAGTCTTGAAAAACCAAAATAAATAAATAAATTGAAAAAAAATATACTTCATGTTTCATTTTATCTCATATAATGAGTCTGAGTATAATGCATAGTCTTCATCAAAAACATCCAATTTCCTCTTAAATTCTATTTCATGTGCTGATGGCAAAGCATTATCACATGTTCTCCTGGGACTTTACCCTCTTCAAAGTTCTCATCCACAAACATTTTTAGAGTTAAGCTTGGTGATTGACCCTGGTCCCTGCTGGGACTGGAGATATATATGTCGTGACTGTTATTATCCACTTTTCTTTCCAGTCTTTTTCTGTGTGTGTGTGGGGGGGCAGAGATTTGTGTGTGTGTATTTAGATTTTTGAAAACCACTTTTTTTTTTCTCCACCATGCTCTATGCCATCAGTCTCCTTTGGTCTCAAATCTTACTCCTTAGTTATATGCACTGTAGACCAATATAGTGAGCTTGTATCTCTTGCAGTCCACACAGCTCCTCCTCCTCCTGCTTCTGTGTCCTGAGTGCTGGGATTAAAGGTGTGCACCACCAACACCCAGCTTTTTTTTTTCCAATTTATATGGGTACAAAGTTAATTTGGGATGTAGTTTGTTGGCCCCCGTATGACCCAGAACAGCGAGACTGGAGGAGGCTGGGACCCTCCAACATCTTGTCTCAAATAATCTGCAGGTATGTGTTCATGCATACAAGAGAGTCAACCAAGAGACCTGTAAGTCAAGGAAGGACCATGATGGAGTTAGTAAGGTAACAGTAGTCAAGGTTGTTGCTGAGTGTTCTCTGGCAGTGGAACGTCATAGCAATGTGACCAACAATGTTATCCAGACCCAAGAGAGCATCAGAGCCATGACATGGCATACTTCGGCTGAAGCCTAGCTTGCCCCTTCTTGAATTTTGAATCCTTCACTGCTTCATGTACAAGGATAGCAAAGGTTTCTGGTTTTTGTTTGTTTGTTTTGCTTTTTGTTTATTTGTTTTTTCCCCAGACAGGGTTTCTGTGTGTAGTCCAGGCTGTTCTGGAACTTGATTTGTAGCCCGGAGTGGCCTAAAACTCACAGAGATCTTCCTGCCTCTGTCTCCTGAATACTGGTATTAAATTGTGCACCAGCACTACTGGGGTAGTGGTGTTAGTGTTAGTTCATTCTTAAGTGTCTTGCCTGTGCTCAATGTTTGGACTGAATTCAGTCTGAGACAACTTAATGTCAGGAGGAATGAGAGGACACACCAGACAGTCAAGTTTGTATTACATGACAAGTTAAAGGGGAAAAGAGAACAATGTGAAAATGTCTGTAACAGTTAAAGACCCTCTAGTGAGTCTGTGTGTGAAACTCCTTAAAATGACAGAAATGTATGGTACAGATGAACTCAGTTGTAGTTAATGATAAAATACAAATGGGGAAGAAACTCACTTCTAAAGGGAATGTGGACAGACTAAAAGATGGAATGACAAATGAGCTGTTGTGAGAAGAATAAAAGTCTAAAGGGAATGAACATTCCAAAGAGAAAGAAATGTAGTCTTATTCAAATAACAAAAGGAGCCCTATGCAGCTCAGATGTCTAGTTTAGACACTGTTCCCTTTATTGATAACACTGGCTTTTCACTTCTTCACAGGGTAGGAAAAAAGATTATCATTTATAATCACAGGTTTTGGTTCTAATTCTGCTCCTTCTTAGTCTCTTCAACTCTTGGGCTACTTGCTTAACTGCAGCAAGACCTAGTTCTTGCCAAAGACAATAGCAGCAACTGATATAGAGTCAACATGGTCCTAAAGCAGGTTGTATCAATCACTTGGCATCCTTGAAGGACTTTCTATTAGTCCTTCTGCTCTGTGTGGTAGTCTATATCAGTTAGGAACAATCAAATGTTGCATTAAAAAATTCTGCCTTTTCACAGAAGCAATATACTTGGCATTAGTGGATTCAGTATAACTAATCAAGTAACCTGGTAAAATCAAAGGCAAAACACACACACACACACACACACACTGCACACAAAGTACTTACGTTGTCTAAATTCATTGAACTACCAACTGGCAGAACTTGGTTCATATACAGGGCATTTGGAGGCAAGCTAGCTTAAGTACAAACAGATTTCCTTTAGCTGGATATAAAACAAAATGAAGGTTCAATGATGGATGTTTACAAATATGAGTTTAATGGAATATGTTAAATTTATACTCTGTAAAAAATTGAATCATGTATTTATTGGCTTATATATTCTGTATTCTAAATGGTGACGTGACCATCAAAAGGAACTAATAAAAGCCTTGTTGCTTGGGATGGTAAGATGGCTCATCAGGTGAAGGTGCTGGCTGTCAACCTGGCAGCTTGAATTCTATCCTTGGAAACTACATGGTTGGAAGAAAAGCACTGACTCCTACAAAATGTCCTCTGATTTCTGCACATGAGCAATGGCATGTAGACCCTTCCACATACACATATGTATACATATAAAATAAAAATAAATAGATGTATGAAAATGAGAAAAATTACCTGTGTTATTTCCCTAATCACTTACTGTGTTATCTGGAGTTTAGGACACCTAATTGCTTGAGTCATATAGAAAGCCAAAGTGGGTAGGACATGCTCAATGGAAATGCAGAGGAAGCCAACTTCGTGAGAGGTATATTGCATTCCAGCATCTTTTCCTTAAAAACATTTTACTTTTAATTATGTGTAGGTGTTTGGGTCTGTTCATGAGAGTGTGGGTGCCCGTGGAAGTCATGCAGAGGACAAAGGTATTTAATACATTGGAGCTGAAGTTACAGGGGTTGTAATCCAATCCCCACAACTAATGTGGATGGTGGGAATCAAACTCAGGTCCCCTGCAAGAGCAGTGTGTGGTCCTCAACCGATGAGCCATCTGTTCAACCCTGAATTCCAGTTTTTTAAACCTTGGAAGCCAGAGTGCCCAACAACTACCAGGGTGAATTAACTCAGGTTAATTCTCTGAACAACACCCAACTAATTTGTTCATCAGAACCCTTCTGGTAAACCTGCAATGTTTCAAAGATCACTCATGGATCTTTAAATCAACATTGTTCTTATCAGAAAAAGCAGCAACAGTCTACATCTCTGTCAATAGGAACTTGGGAAAAGTTAATTATGCAATGTCTATATTGGCTATAAAATTGATGCTAAAATAATAATTGAAATATTTGAATAAACAGTATTAGTTACAGGGCAGTATATATTTTATGATTCCATGATAAATCTACACATAAGCATATGCCTAATACCTGGATCTAAAACAGATTTATGAAAGGATAGTCTGAAAGTCGTCAATATATTCATAATAATTTTTTCTTTATGTATAACTTTAGTTAATACTTTCTTAAAACTTTGAGTTGCTTAAAATTTATAAAATTAATGTATTTTACTTTTATGAGGAGTATAAATTAAACCCTAGTTGTGAAAAGTATTTGCAAATTTTCTAAAAGCTGTAATATACATCAATGGTTGTATGCTTGCCAGGCATATGTGAAACCCCCAGTTTCAATGCCCAGTTAATTTAAGATCCATTTTAATTATAATAGCTATTTCACATTATTGAATGATGCACTCAAAGTAATCCTGGTCCTATTAGAATTTCAAAAATCCAATGAGAATTAATGTACTGTACAAGGATATAACATATAAATCTGTGCAAGTTTTGAACAACTGCATGATATCCATTTAAGGATTTGCTATAATTTATTTTTTTTCAGTCTGACCTTTCAAAGTAAGGTTTAGTAATTTGTATTTGATAAGCCCAAGGCAATATATTTAATATGAGTTATGTTTAATGCACAAAGTTTTAAATTGAAGTTAAAACTTTGCTTCCTTTATTTCTCCATGCCTGATTAGTTATACTGAGTAGACTTGTGAAAATTTGAGATGATGATGATGGTGATGATGATGGAAATGACTTTTATTATCTAGTAGCCCATTCACTAGAAGAAAGAATTAGTCTTAAGTTCAGATAGAAGTGGGCAAGGAGGAGAACGGAATGTGTATGTATATTTGCCCTTCCTTTTGCCTAAGCCCTCTCTCTGCCTCAATTGGCCAAAACTGTTCACAGATTTGTCTTCCCTAGTAGACTACTGTAATCTTCTAGACGCACAGATTATGCACTGGCTGAGGATGGTTAGTCCAATATTTAACCGTGTTTGTTTGAATCTCAACTGTGCTTTGGACTCTGATCTTGTAGAAATTCTTCAAATTCTTTTCTGTTCATTTTTTCATCTCTATAATAGGAGGAATTCACAAAGGGTAGCCTTGGAAATTGATATAAGAGTGCCTGGAATAGTTACCATCTGGTAAATATTAACTGTGCCTATCCTTATGAATACCTTAGTTTAATGGGCTCTTCAAGTCAAAACACTCAGCAAATGTTCTCCTGCAGACTGAGTGCCACGCTGAAGCAGGATAGAAAGGCAAGGGAAATGATGAGCACATGTAAGAGGACAGGAGCATCTCATCCCAGAATCTGAGCGCTGCCTTTCACCAGCTGAGAAGCAGGAATTCCAATACAATGTACAATGTTTGCTGTGAAAATTATCAACCTAGAGATAATATGCCTTTCATACATATAATTTATCTTGAAATAGCAACAAGCCAGGCTT